TGGTCACTCAGGGCCGCGGGCACATCCACAGGAATTTGAAGACCTGCTTTCCAATTTCATTTTTTTCAAGGCTGTTAAAATTTTGATAAGGCTTGCAATGAATTTATGGTTTATTTTGGACAGTTCTAAGTCTTAAATCTTCTAATCCATGAATATGGCATCTTCCCATTTATCTAAGTCTTACTTAATTTCTTTCAGCAATATTTTATAACTTTCATTATACACATTGTTCATTTCCTTGGGTAAACTTACTCCTGAGTATTTTATTATTTGGGATGCTATTGGAAATGGAACTTTCATAATTTCCTTTTCAGATTGTTCACTGCTAGTGTAGAGAATCAACTGATTTTTCTTGTTGGTCTTGTCTTCAGCAACTTTGGTGAATTTGTTTGATAGCTCTAATAGTTGTGCATGTGCGTGCATGTATCCTTTTTAATTTTCTTTAAACCTTCACTGAAGGACACTTTTCCTCCCATTGCTTTGAGAGAGAAAGAGAGGGAGAGGGAAAGGGAGAGGGAGAGGGAAAGGGAGAGGGAAAGGGAGGGGGAGAGAAAGAGACGGGGAGACAGAGAGACAAACACTGACATGAGAGAGAAACATGGATTGCTGTCTTCTCAAATACACCCAGCCATGGGACCAAACCCCAGGCCTGGGCATGTGCCCTGACCGGGAATCAAATGCATGACCTTTCAGTCTATAGGATGACACTCCAACCAACTGGGCCACACCAGCCAGGGCACATGTGTGTATTCCTCAGGATTTTCTATATATAAGATCAAGTCATCTGCAAATAAAGATAATTTCAGCTCTTCCATTCTAGTTTGGATACCTTTTATTTCTTGTCCTTGCCTAACTATTTGGTTAGAACTTCCAGTACAATGTCTGATGAATGGTGAAATCAGGAAGTTTTGTCTTGTTCCTGATCTTAGGGGGAAACTTTCAGTCTTTCACTATGGAATATCATGTTAGCTGTGAATTTTTTCATAAGTATCTACTCTCAAGTTAAAGAATTTTCCTTCTGTTTCTTCTTTGTTTTAGTACAGCCAACAAAGCTGTTTGTGTCTATTTGCATGGAATAACTTTTCATTCTTTCACTTTCAACCTATTTGTATCTTTGGATCAAAAGGTGTGAGATTTTCTTCAGCATCAACTGAGGGAGTCATGTGGATTTTTGCCTTCATTCTATTTGTGTATTACATTGATTTTTGTACAATGAACCTTGCATTATGGATAAATCCTACTTGGTCATGGTGCATAATCCTTTTAAGCTGCTGCTGGATTCATTTTGTTATGATGGCACTGAGGATTTTTGCATTTATATTCATTATATTTGTCTGTAATTTTCTTATCATTATGTCTTTGCCTATCTTTAGTGTCAGGGTAATGCTAGCCTCATGAGATGAGTTTGAAAGTAGTTCCTCCTCTTCTCTGTCTTGAAAGAGTTTGAGAAGGACTGATGTTCATTCTTTTTTAAATGCAAGGCAGAGTTAACAAGTGAAGGAATCTGGTCCTGGACATTGCTTTTGGGGAAGTTTTTGATTAGTGACTTAATCTGTTTACTTGTTATGGTCTATTTCAATATGTCTGTTTTCTATTTCTTCTTGAGTCAGCTTAGTAGTTGGTTTGTTTCATCCTAGGTTATCATTTAACTGTTTATAGCATTCTCCTATAACCTTGTTTTATTTCTGTATGGTCAGCACAGAAATAAGTGGTCAGTAGTAATGTCCTAACTTTCATTTGTATTTTTAGAAATTTGAGTCTTTTGTTATTTTTATTAGTCAATATAGCTAAAGACTTGTCAATTTGATCATTTTGAAGAACAAAATTTTTATTTTTCTCTACTGTTTCTCTATTCTCTATTTTGTTTATCTCACTCTAACCTTTTCTATTTCCTGCCTTTTGGTAGCTTTGGGTTTAGTTTGCTCTTTTTTGTGTAGTTCCTTCAGGTGTAAAGTTGGTTATTCATTTGAGACCTTTCTTCTTTCCTATGCAGGCTTTTATAGGCATAAATCTCCCTCAGAGCACTGCTTCTGCAGCATCCTGTAAGTTTTATTATGGTGTGTCTTCATTGCGTCTTGTCTTAACATATTTTTCTACTCTCCCTTGAGGTATCTCCTTTGACCTACTGGATATTTAACAGTGACCTTTAGTTAAATATGTTGTTTAATTCCCATATAGTAGAAAAAATTTCAAATCTTACTGCTGTTACGGAGTTTTAGTTTCAATCCATTGTCAGAGAAGATATTTGTGTGATTTTATTATTTTTTCATGTGAGACTTGTTTGTGACCTAACATATGGTCTACACTGAAGAACGCCCTATACGTACTTGAGAAAACTTTTTATCTTCCCAATTAATCGACCCCTTTCAATATACAATGTCCTTCTTTGCCTCTTTTTAAGTTTTTGCCTCAATGTCTATTTTGTCCGATGTTAGTACAGCCAACCCAGCCCTCTTTCGGTTTCTATTTGCATGAAATATTTTTTCACTTTTCACCTTCTACCTATTCATATCTTTAGATCTCAAGTAAATCTCTTATAGACAACATACATGTGGGCTTTTTGATGATCCAGTCTGTCTTAATTGTAGAGTTTCATTTACACTTAAGGTAATTAATGATAAAATAGTTCTGCTATTTTGCTATTCTTTTACATATGTCACATCTTTTCTGTCCCTCAGTTCCTCCACCATGGCTTTGTGTGTGTGTGTGTGTGTGTGTGTGTGTGTGTGTGTGTGTGTGTCTGTAGTGCATCATTTTCATTCCCTTCTCATTTGTTTTTCTGTACATTTTTATTTTCTTGGTAGTTACCTTTGGAATTATAACTAGTCATGACACCTGAGACGCTAGGATGGGCTTTGAGATGAGGGTCCCCCATTTTCCAGGGTGCCGGCACCTGAAGAAAACCACATTCCTTTACATCAGCACCTGCCTCAAGTATTGCTTCCGAAGTGGCGGTCAGCCAGACCTGCATTTTGTTACAGATCCTTGTATGTGCCCTGACCAGCAAAGAACCCACAACCTTGGTGCATCAGGACAATGCTCTAACCAACTGAGCTACCCAGCCAGGGCCATATTCCCAGATTTTATTACATTTTTAAAGTATTTTTTGTTGATTATGCTATTAGTTTTCCCAATTTTTCCCCTTTATCCCCCCTCCACCCTGCCCACCCAACCCCCCAGCATTCCCTACTCCTTAGTTCATGTCCATGGGTTGTACATATAAGTGCTTTGAGTCCTCTGTTTCCTGTATCATCTTTTTATCTCCCCCATCTATTTTATGCCTACTAATTATGCTGCTTCTTCCCTGTACCCTTTCCCCCCTATTCCTCCCTTCCCCCTCCCCACTGAAATCCCTCCCTGTGATCTTCATTTCTCTGATTCTGTTCCTGTTCTTGTTGTTTGCTTAGTTTTTGTTTCCATTGTTTTTTTTTTAGGTTCATTTGTTGATAATTGTGAGTTTGTTGTCATTTTACTGTTCATAACTTTGATCTTCTTTTTCTTAGATAAGTACCTTTAACATTTCATATAGTAAGGGCTTGGTGATGATGAACTCCTTTAACTTGGCCTTATCTGGGAAGCACTTTATCTGCCCTTCCATTCTAGATGAAAGCTTTGCTGGACAGAGTAATCTTGGATGTAGGTCCTTGCCTTTCATGACTTGGAATACTTCTTTCCAGCCCCTTCTTGCCTGCAAGTTTTCTTTTAAGAAATCAGCTGATAGTCTTATGGGAACTCCTTTGTAAGTAGCTATCTCCTTTTCTCTTGCTGCTTTTAAGATTCTCTCCTTATCTTTAACCTTGGGTAATGTAATGATGATGTGCCTTGGTGTGTTCCTCTTTGGGTTCAACTTCTTTGGGACTCTCTGGGCTTCCTGGACTTCCTGGAAGTCTATTTCCTTCACCAGATTGGGGAAGTTTTCCTTCATTATTTGTTCAAATAAGTTTTCAACTTCTTGCTGCTCTTCTTCTGGCACCCCTGTAATTTGGATGTTGAAACATTTTTGTTTATCCCTGAGACTCCTCAGCCTCTCTTCATTTTTTGGATTCTTGTTTCTTCATTCTGATCCAGTTGGATGTTCATTTCTTCCTTTTGTTCCAAATTGTTGCTTTGAATCCTGGTTTCCTTCTTGTCACTATTGGTTCCCTGAATATTTTGCTTTATTTCATTTTGGGTATCTTTCATTTGTTCTCTCATTTTTCAACCAAGCTCAATCAGTTCTGTGAGCATTTTGATTGCCAGGGCTTTAAATTCTCCATCAGATAGGTTGGCAATCTCCTCATCACTTAGGTCTCTTTCTGAGGTTTTGCTGTGTTCTTTCATTTGGGCCATATTTCTTTATCTTGGCGGACCTACTAAGTGTAAGGAGCAGAGCCTTAGGTATTCACCAGGGCAGGGCAACCCTCTTTGCTGCACGGCCTGTTGGGGGAGGGATCAGAGAGGGAACAATGCAGCTCACCTGCTCCTCTCTAGCGCACTTTCCAACAGAATCTCCTGTGAGCCTGGAAGTATCTCCCACGAAGCAAGCCCGGCCCTAGGCCCCAGTCGGCTGAGTCTCAGTTTCCCCTGAAGCCAGTCTCTCCCATGCAGCTCTGCCGAGCCCCGTCTCTCAGCCTCCTGGCCTCGGTTTTCCTGAGTCGGCCCACGTGGTCCGGCCCACGCAGTCCGCCTTACAGGTCTGACTGTTTTGGTTGATTTTTTTCTTTCATTCCATGATTGTCAGAGTTCCATGCAGTTTGATTTTCTGGTGATTTTGGTTGTTTATTGATTTTAGATTGGTGGTTATCCTCCTTTTGATTGTGAGAGGAAGTGAAGGGTTTCTACCTACGCATCCATCTCTGCCGGAACCCCACATATTCCCAGATTTTAGAGTGTATTTCAAAAGCCCTTAGAATTTTTTTACAGAAAATTATCTTAAATGAAATGTCTTAAAAATTGCCTAACATTTTCAGAATTAAAATAGGTGAAACAGAAAAAAAAGAGGATCCATTTTGTCTGCTTACCTCAAAAAGTCTGAACAACTTGTATCTTGTTTTGTAATCAGTACACAAGACCACCACAAAGGCGTTCATCGAGATGATGCTGATCATGATCACCTTAAACAGAGGACTCGTTATGATTCTCTTCACAAATGCCTGACACTGAGTGTCTTTCCTCCTGTCAGAAAGTGGAATAAGAGGTATGATTATCTCACAACAGAGCTGGGTCCCCAGACAATGCATCCTTTTTTGTAGGGACTAGGTCTTCTTTCCCCTTCTGTGAGATAAGTTTATATATACTTTCAAATTGCAATTGAATACTGACTGAATGACCCCTGAAATATGTACGATGATCATCTAGTGTGTCTGTCCTCACTCAGTTTCAGTTCTTTCTCTCTAGACTTCTGAAACAGAATGGCTACCACTCCTTCTCAAGCAAAACAAAGCATCATCTTCATTTACTCATTCGGCAAATTTTTATTGAGTAACTACTACATGCCAGGTGTTACAGCAGGCACTGCTGATATAACATGAGCAAAATTAAATATTGTCAGTCTAGTGAGGAAAATGGATAATAATTAAATAATCACCCAGACAAGTGCTTACAAATCAAGGATAAAAAACTAAACACTCTAAGAAAAAAATGGGCAAAGACAGTCAATTCATAAAACAAATACAATGGCAATAAATTTTCCCAAAATGGTCAACAGTACTACTAATCAGAAAGGTAGAAATTAAGTAAAACCATCCTTCTTGCTTATAAAATCAGCAAAGACACCATTGTGATAATATTTAATGCAGCAACAGTGTGGTGTGATTGAGCATTGTCATAAACTGCAAGGAGGAATGTAAATTGACACTTTTCTGAAAGGCCTTAGAACTGTTCATATCCTCTGACCCAAGGAATCTACCCCAAGAGAATACAATCAGAAATGCAAAACAGTGACTTGGGCCAAATGTGTTTATCGCAGCATTATTTACCAAAACAATTTAAAAGTCTTAACAAAAAAGACTGGTTACGTAAATTACAGCATATCCATCCCATGGAATATTACACAGATATGAAAATGTCTATGTATTTTTCATGATTTAGAAAAATGTTTATGATCCACTGAATAGCAAAACATAAAAACAAGATACAAATTCTCTACTTGTTATCACAACTGTGCAAAAATGGGTAGAAAACACTTGGTGGAAAATATGTCAAAATGTTGATAGTGGTGAGGTTGTAGGTGATTCCCATTTGTCCATATTTATCTGTGCTTTGCAAATTTTCTCAAAGAGTATAATTTCTTTCCACTATATGTAACAAATGAACACATTCTCACAACAGTAAAAAAAAATACAGAATGAATATACTTCTTTAATGCATAAAAGCAAGATGTGTAATTTTCATGATCTGATTTGAGATAGGGTTGGTTACCACACCCCCACACACACACACAAAAAGCCTTTAAATTATCTAACACAGTTAACAGGAAAGGACAAATAAGGTCAAACTCGTCATTCAGTCCACGGGCCAAATAAGAGCATGACTGAACATCTGACTTAACCAGCCAGTCCTGACACTAAACCCGAACAAGCAACATGCGTGCCCTTCCCCAGCCCTACCCCTCAGAGAAGCCAGCCCACCGAGGACTTGCCCCTCAGTCTGGGGAGTGGTCAGCGCCCACGGGGGGAGGCTGAGCGCACTGGCACCCTGCCCCCACCGCCGAGTGCCCCTTCCTAACAAGCAGTAGAAACGGAGAGTGTTTACTGGAACGTCCGGCATCTCGCGCAGAATACCGCCAACGTGTTGTCCAACAGGGAGCTGGACACGACTCTGGTGTGGGTCTGGTGGTACAAGTGTTGAAACATTCTCCAAACTCTCGCTTTTTATTCCTCACTCTTATCATCCAACAGAAAATTTCTGCTTAGGGAACCCTTGCCACCTAGATTCTGGAGGCCACAGAGAAGGGTCCTCGGGGAGAATTCGTGCTTTGTGAGGTCACCCTTGGGCATTCCAGCATGTTACTAGCCTGCAGGCCCCTGGGTGGCCAGCCTCCCTGGACCATCCATGCAGAGCTCCTCTCTTCCCAAGGAGAACGAGCACCTCAGTTCAGCAAAAGGGGTTATGAGTGCCCCGCAGCTGTGAAGCTCCAGGCTCAAGTTAGGAGACACCAGAGATGGGCCAGATGAAAACTCCTTCTCCACCTAGTGTCCTGATGGGCGCAGGCCCTTAATAATACATTACAATAAGTTAAGGTTCATAGAAGAGGAGAAAGCAAAGTTCTCTGAGGTTCTAAGAGCAAGGGTACAGCCTTGGAAACACCTGGAAGGGCAAGGAAAGGTTTTGATGGGTTTGGAGCCAGAACATAAGAAACCAGGCTAATTAGGGGTACAGACTGTACATGTATGAGCCACCCAGAGTAGAATGAGCCCATGGGGCAGAAATGCATTAGGTACAAGAGCCAATAGGATTTTTTGCCCTGTTCGCTTCATGGGATTAATGTATTCTCCTTGCTCTTCTACCCCTTTGGCTTTTAAGGCAAATCAAGACAGAAGGATCTAGGCAGCCCTATGTTGTACTAAACCTTCAGTTGCTAAATTGGTCAAATTCCTGGAAACCTAAGTTCTTGGGCCATTAGGAAAAAAAGCAACCACCATGCTGTCCCAGATATTCTAATACAAGTGCAAGTGACCATTCCTTGTATGAAAAGACTCTTATAGGCAACCAATATACTAAACTGGGAAATAACATCTTATTTACTCAATTTCTCTATTTAAAATCAGGAAGCTTTAAGAATCACTTTGATTAACATCCCCCGGATTCATACTTTAGTCTCATCTTCTCAGCTGACATTCTCTCCCTCGGGGATCAGCTCCCCCTACACCTCCTACTGCCTCCTTTGGTCATACGCCTCCTTCCACCTTCTGGGCTCCTGCTCAACGTCCCCACAGTGGTGGCCTCTTGGAGCAGCTGCCTGGAGAGAGCCTGGGTAGGTTCTGTGTCCACCTGCCCCAGCACATCAACGTGCCAGATTCCATGAGGGACATACAGAAGGCCCTCAGTAAGCATGTGCCCTGTCAATATACAAACGAATGGCACCAGATCCTTATGCTCACTCCTATAGCTGAGCACAGTGGAACTCCCCTTTCAGGGACCCCAATGGTACACTTCTATGTCCTCTTTAAGCACCAACGCAATACTTTTGGGGAGAACAGGAGAAGAGAATAAGAATATAAAGAATTCAAATAAGTATAGACTTCCAGCCAAGATTGGAGGCATAGGTGGACGTGCTGTACCTCCACGGACAACCAAAATTAGAACAACAACAATTTAGAAGCAGAGTAACACCCAGAACTGATAGAGAATTTATCTGAATGGAAGTCGGACAGCCAAGAAGTTGAAGTAGACCCGTTCATCCAGACCGGTAGGAGGGGCGGAGACAAGCAGCTGGGCGCAGGTTGCAGCATGGGTCATGGTGAGGAGAGCAAAGAGAGTTGGGCGCATAAGGCAACTGGGGGTGCGTGAGGCATCTGGGGCGCGCAAGATCGCAGCAGGTGGACCCTGAGTACACAAGCGGAAGCTGGCAGACCCAGTGAGGCGGTGATTGTGGAACAGGAAAGAGTGCGCAACCCAGGATCCCAGGGAAGGGACTGAGGTCCCACGGAGAATGGAGCTAATTCCATTGTTCCCTCCCGCCCCCGCCTCCACATACAATGTCACAATCTAGCGACTGGGGTGCCCAGCCCTGGTGAACACCTAAGGCTCCACCCCTCACCGTAACAGGAGTGACCAGACCAAAAAAAAAAAAAAAGAGAGAGACATGTCTCAAACAGAAGAACAGATCAATGCCCCAGGACTCATCATTTTAAGTGACTAAGAGATAGCCAATCTATCAGATGCACAGTTCAAAACACTGGTGATCAAGAAGCTCACAGAATTGGTTGATATGGGGCGCAAATTAGGTGAAAAAAGGCAGGTTACCATAAAAGAGATGAAGGAAAATACACAGAGAACCAATAGTGATGGGAAGGTAACTGGGACTCAAAACAATAGAGTGGACCAGAAGGAAGACAAAAAAAAAAAAAAAAGCAGGAAAGCATGAAGAAATAAGAATTCAAAAAAAATGAGGAGAAACTTAGGAACCTCCAGGACATCTTTAAACATTCCAACATCTGAATTATAGGGGTACCAGAAGGGGAAGAGGAAAAGCAACAGATTGAGCATGTATTTGAACAAATAATAAAGGAGAACTTCCCCATTCTGGTAAAGGAAATAGACTTCCAGGAAATCCAGGAAGCTCAGAGAGCCCCAAAGAAGTTGGACCCAAGAAGAAACACACCAAGGCACATAATTACATTAATTACATTAGCCAAGGTAAAAATGAAAGAGAGAATCCTAGAAGCAGCAAGAGATAAGGGGACAGTAACCTACAAAGGAGTTCCCATCAGACTGTCAGCTGATTTCTCAAAAGAGACCTTACAAGCAAGAAGGGGCTGGAAAGAAGTATTCCAAGTCATGAAAGACAAGGACCTACATCCCAGATTGCTCTATCCAGCCAAGCTTTCATCTAGAATGGAAGGGCAGATAAAGTGCTTCTCAGATAAGGTCAAGTTCAAGGAGTTCATCATGACCAAGCCCTTATTTTATGAAATGTTAAAGGGACTTATCTAAGAAAGGAAGATAAAGAAAAAACATGTATAGTAAAAGGACAGCAAACTCACAATTATTAACAACCACACCTAAAGCAAAACCAAAAGAAACTAAGCAAACAACTAGAACAGGAACAGAACCACAGAAATGGAGATCACATGGAGGGTTAGCAACAAGGGAATGGGAGGAGGAGAGAGAGGGGAAAGGTACAGAGAATAAGTAGCATAGATTGTAGGTTGAAAATAGATAGGGGGAGGGTAAGAATAGTATGGGAAATGTAGAAGCTAAAGAACTTATGACACATGGACATGACTAAAGGGGGGAATGTGGGTGGGAGAGGGTGTACAGGGTGGAGGGGAGTGAAGGGGGAAATGGGACAACGGTAATAGCATAATCAATAAAATATATTAAAAAAAAGAATATAAAGAATTCTTCACACTTGGCTGGCGTAGCTCAGTGGATTGAGTGCAGGCTGCGAACCAAAGTGTTGTAGGTTTGATTCCCAGTCAGGGCACATGCCTGGGTTGAAGGACACGGCCCCAGCAACCACACATTGATGTTTCTCTCTCTCTTTTTCTCCCTCCTTTCCCTCTCTAAAAATAAATAAATAAAGTCTTAAAAAAAAAAAAGAATTCTTCACGATGCTTGCAAGGGTGAGGAGAGGTGGCCAGCTGAGAGTAGCAGAGAAAAGCCCAGCTGTTCTTAGTGCACTGTGTTGACACAGCCAACACAGCAAACGTGGTTTCTGCAGTCGCCCATGAAGACATTCCGTCTGGTCGGGAACTCTGGCTGCAGAGCGGCATCGGAGGTAACCAGCTCATCAGGGTCTTTGAGTTTGGCTCTTCTCTGGGAGACTCAGGCACCCCGGGAGAGGGAGCCACAGGAGCACCTGTTCCGCCAGGCAGCAGCAACTCACGCACCGCCTGACGGGGGTCATGGCGCTCAGCAGCACCGGGCAGGGAGAGTCAGCAGTCAGCAGGCACGGCTGCTCGGCGACTCAAGTCTTCTGGCCGAGAGTCCTCCTTTAGCAGTCCCACGACATTGGCACTGAGACACAAAGCTCACATATTATAGCCAGACCCGGTAACAGTCCTTGCTGTTTTGTAGGAAATTTCAAAAACCTAACAGTTAGAGTTCGCCTGGCATATTTTTGAACGCTAAATCAGTTTGAAGACTGCTTCACACCAACGCAAGTCGTCCAAGACTTCAATACACTAGGTAAGGGTCAGGTTTGTGTTAAAAAACATAGGTGCCGCTGTTTTCTGTCTAAAGCAAAAGCATAAAAACCATGCCTATCCTATGTACCCGAAGATTTCCTAACTCTTATCAGTGTCAGAAAGGAGTCATTATTTTCAGAATTTTCATTAGCTTCATTTTAGAAAAGGAGACCTGTTAACCTGCTGGCCCTGGTGTGTGATCTATGGAGGTCATGCAAGGTGTCATAGGTCATGCCTACTGCACTCCTCTCTACTCCAGTGATCGTTTAGGAAGAAAATGGAGGAAAACCAAAACTTACCACATCAGCGACACCAGTGCCATCACATGGACTTGGACCAGAAGGGAACTTGAGGACCTCCAACCTTGCCAATGTCCCTTTTAGGTTGAAATGCCAGTTACCTGAAACAAGTCCGGGGACTCTTCCTTTGCAATTTACACAGTGAGTATTTCCATACGCTTGGTGTGGGACCTTCGGTCCTCTCTAGGAAAGTTTGTGCATTCCAGCAGATGCGGCACCCTGAACATGAACCTGCTGTCAAACCCCCCAGACAGATGCTAATTAGCAGCTGCACTCTCGGGTCTTCACCGCGGCAGCTACGAGCCATGCCCCACTTTCTCTAGGGTGCTGTATGCAACACATGTTAACAGCCAAGGAGTTGAGCCTCTCAGACTTACAATACATTCTAAACAGGGGAAAAGGTTTCCATTCAGGGTACAATGAAACAAGTTGACCTGTACCACAGGAGAGTAGACAAATGAACCCAGAAGGTGGAATACCCCTGACCCAGTCCTCGCAGTAATCAACAACGTGGGGAAGGCGGAGGGGAGGGAGGAGAGCGTGCCTGCTCTAGACGACCAGATGTGATGGGTGGACTTCATGTGGATCCTGATTAGAACAAAATTACTGTCCAAACACATTCTTGACCTTCAGGGCAATTTGATTTCACCTGGGTGTTAGGTGATACCAAGAAATCATGGTTTATGTTGTTAGGTATGATAGTGGCATTCAGGTTTAATCACAAAAATGACCATATTTTCCAGAGATATTTACTGAAGGATGTAGGGGTAAAATGAAATGCTGTCAGGGATCTGCTTTTAAATAGTTTAGCAAAGAAAAAGGAAATGGGGAATTATATGAAGTAATGGGCAAAATCTTGGATTCAATGTACTATTCACTCCTTTAAAATGTATATTTTCCCCATGTTTAACAACTCGTGTAAAAAATTGAAGTATTAAACTAAAAATATTTGGTAATAAAATACATAGAAGTCCCTCCAAATCTGTAAGTAAGAGTTTATAAAAACACATAGATTTGCCTTTTCCTCTAAAAAAAGCACTAAGCAGCACAGGTCGGAGTACCCTGGCTCTGCCCTCCCAGCAGCCACAGCGCCTGGGCAGCCCCCTTTTCCTCCTCGCACACTCTGCACCCACAGGGCAGACTGGCCGCGCCTGCCTCTCCCAGGCCAACAGAGCCAGCTTCAGAGAGTTCGCCTTGTAACGTGCCCACGGGGTCCCTCGGACTGGAGGCTGGGGTAGGGTGGGGAGGGAGCTTTCTGGCCTCTGAAGTGAGGTGGGTTACAAAGATGAACCCCATTAAATCCTACCACAATAATCTTTCAAGGGATTAACACATGTTCCTTGGATAAATATATACAGGGTGGGCAACAGTAGGTTTACGGTTGTGAGAACACGAAACACGGAGTTTATTCTGGTGTTATTATTTATTTATCACTTACTGTTCTCATCTGTATTATTGCCACATGAACAACTATAAACCTACTTCTGTCAACCCTGAATGCATTTTTCAATTTGCATTCTAAGCTCATTAATAAGTACATTCCTGAGTTCCTCCACAGAATGCTATTACTACAATTTTTTTTTATTTTTATTTTTTAAACATTTTATTTTTTTAAAGATTTTATTTATTTACTTTTAGCGAGATGGGAAGAGAGGGAGAGAAACATCCATGTGTGGCTGCCTCTCAGCCAGCCCCCATCACTGGGGAACCGGCCCAAAACCCAGGCATGTGCCCTGACCAGGAATTGAACCAGTGACCCTTTGGTTCACAGGCCCGTGCTCAGTCAGCTGAGCCACACCAGCTAGGGCTGGACTTCATTTATTTATGTTTAGAGAGGTGAAGGGAAGGACAAAGAGAGGACGAGAACATCGGTGTGTGAGAGAAACACCAATTCACTGCTTCTCGCACACGCCCCACAGGGGATGTGGCCGGCAGCCCAGGAGTGGGCCTGGACTGGGGACCAAGTGGCGGTCTTTCAGCTCGAAGGCCCAAAGAGCCACACAAGCCAGGGCTACAATTTTTAAATAATAGATAACTTTGTGTTCCATTTTACTCCTGTCCATGACACACACAGTAAATAGAGCTCATTACTGAATAATACCCAAGCAGCTTCTAGCTCAATGGCTATGGAGCTTCAGTTCAGAGGTCACAAGCAAATAATGAAGAAAAAAAAAAAAATGACCCTTGGTTCCTCCTTAACTCTGTAATTCAAATAATGACCTAGTAACTTGGCCACTTATGATTGTGAATCCTTCTATTTTCCCACCTTTCTAGAAGCCATGGACAAAACACTTGTTCTCTCCCTTCAACTCCCTTCAACAAGATAGCTCAGCCATTTTTTGTGACTTTGTAATCTAATTAACTACATAATAGCAGCAGTTAAAGTTCAAATTCATAAGAATTATTATAGATGGCTAAAACCCTTTACCTACAGAGTTCTTCATTATTTTTCTATCTTACGACTATTCCCCAACACAATGCACATGTAAAGTCACAAGGACCACCTGAATTTCTAGGTTAGAAAATGTGTAAATGCTCCCCCATCTCAATTTCTGATCTTTATGAATGCTATTTCTCTCTCTCTCACGAATATGGTATTATTAATATAACTACCTAGGTTGGTCTGTGTTATATATGTGATTTAAATATAATAAAAAATACCTCAGACTCAAATGTAAATCCATTTATATTTAGCATTGATTTGACAAAACATGGTCTATAAAGTTGAACTTCAATTTACAGCTTAATTTGTTCATGTTCATCACCTTCAAAATATACTGCACCTGAGATATATATAAGATTTTACATGCATTTTGAAAGAAATCACACAGAAGTAGCTGCTTTTTCAATAAACTTGGCCAGTTTCACATCTCGCTTGGTCAGTTGGCCACAGTCGTGCGAAGTGAGAGTTATCTGGACCTATGAAAGAGAGAAGCAGTTTTTAAAACCCTGACCTGTGATTCGTGGTTTTCTCCTTTGGGGGTTCAGAAATCAATCTATATTCCAACATTCATATTTAAGAACTGAAGGGATTAAATGGTTCAGAAAACATGAGTAAGCACAGCATTTCCAAAGCCCAGCAAACTCCAGGGGCGCAGTCTGCTTCAGGCTGGGCCCAGAGGTTGTCCAGGCACAAAAAGGTTCTCTCATACGCAGGGCCCTTCAGCTGCCAGAATCTCAAATCTTGTCTCTTGGAAAAGAGAGAGACTGAGGTTCCAGCTGAACTCCCATTACTTTAATTACACCCACTATTTTCAAGCCACTGAGGAAACCAAGCTATCAAATGTAGTGTCTCAGCAAGGCTAAAAAAGCTCATTTCCAAATTAGGGGAGTGAGGTGGGGGTGGTACGAAGGAACAGATTCTTGCTCCTTGACAAACCAATTAAAAGGCAAAAGCAAAGTTATGGGCAGAGAAAGGCAACTGGGAAAGAAAAGTTTATACTGATACCTGCATGCTCTGAATTATCCCAATAAATCACAAAAATATGAAATGTTCTCTTTATTCACAAAAGACTTTCAAAGAGAAAAAAGGACTCCACAGAAATCTAGATTATAAGACATTCTAAACTGTAAGACCATAAAGGCAAGGACATTCAGGGGGGCTGATTCTCCTCACTGTGTCCCCTTAAAACTGCCTGATGGAGTCTTGTCACCTTGCTCTCTGTCTCAAACGAGAAGGTCGGTTCCCACTGAGGATATAGCACTTAATAAATCATCATAAATCATTATAATTTAAAGCACAGATCTTCAGCATATTTGTATCAATGAGATAAATAAGGCCATAGCTTTCTTATTTGCTACCTTTTCTTTCGATAATTTACTTTAAGAGGGTTTAAAATTTTATCTACGTGGCTGATATTTAAGTTTAATTCAGGAGCCTGATATAGCCCAACTTTCATATTAGTTTCAATAGAAAACAAACATGAAAATACAGGGCTTAGTCACTGTTCTCCAGCAGATCCAAAATCCTGTTACTAAATTGCAATAATACACAGAGATTCTGAGAAAGAAAAAAAAAAAAGAGAATACTTTCCTAAGCAGAATGACACTTAGCTGCACAGGATGACAGGGGTAAAAAAAGTTTCTTAAACTCCCTAATTAAGGTGATCCCAAAATAAGGCAATTTCATTACCTTGTTGTACACATTGAACCATTCCGGGTGATGATTCATCTTCTCTGCTTGCAGAGCCACTCGGGACATAAAGCCGAATGCCTGCAGAAGATGAAGTCGAAAGTGATTCCTGACGCTGCCCTCTGCCCTGGACCTGAGAGAGACCCCAGAGCACTCCAACCAGATAAAGGCGCGGCCAGGACCCTTAGGGAAGCCTGGAGAAACCGAGTATGAAAGGGATTGCTCTCTGCAGAGCCTGGGTAACGGTGTAGCAGGACCGTGACCTGCTGCTCCGTGGTGAAAACAATCAGGCTCAAATAAACAAAGCAGGAAATTGGTCTCACCCAGTGACCTGTCTGGACTGTTTAATTGTCCTCAGGACTAGACTCTCCAAAATAGCCCGGGAATAATTTCCCTCCAACCCAGCGCCCTGGACCCAGAGCCTGGCCCCAGATCTCGGGAGCCCCTTCTCTCGCAGCTCTGCTCCTTTCATTTTCAGGGCCGAGCTGCTCCCAAAGGCATCAACACTGGAACATCTTCTGAGTGCGTCCTAAGCCAAAGCGGGGGCAGAAATGAAGCACTTCCCTACTCCGTCTCTCAGGCAGGACAGGAGGGGATGAAGGACTACTCATACTCGTATTAAAACCCGGGATGAGCCAGAGGACTGGCTTGCCTGCTCCGGGTCCCTTTGCCATCGCCCAGCACTGCCATTCAGAGGAGAAAGGGTCCCGCCTCTAGGCGGAGGGCTCGGCCGCCCCGCCACCAGTGTAGGGGGGACCTGGGGGGCTGTCTTCATACCATAGGGAACTGCACATCTAATTTTGTTAAGCAGAAGGCAAACTTGTCCTGAGAAGAAAAAAGACTTTTTTGCCTGCTTTCAAATTTTTATGAGGGTTTTTGCAAACAATAGGAGAGTCTGTCTCTATTGTGCCCAGAAGGCAGAAATAGTTGGTAAGACTCTAAGGTAAGGGTACATTAATCACAAAGTTACAGCAGAATTCACAGGGCAGTCCTCACTGCAGCCACAGAAATAAATATTTTACTTTATCACAACATCCAGAGAAATCAATCTAATGTTAGTTATGTTGTTTTTGGACCAACAAATGCCAACAGAGCTCATTTCCAAGTTAACAGTGAGAAATATGGAAGATACCATTTTAAATAATTTTTGTCATCCACAATGGTTCCTATCGCCGAATCCACTTTATTCAGCATAAAGGTGTCCATCTTGACATTTAAGGCCTGAAGGCTTTTCCCTGTTCGGAAAAGGAAGGAAACTCAAGCAGAACCCTGTAACCACGTTTGGAGTCACCAGTGGGAAGGCAATCTTCACTCTCCCACCCCTCACTGCTTACAGTTCCCCACCTTATCCACAGTTTTCCCTTCCGTGGTTTCAGTCCCCAGCGGTCCACCCCGGTCTGAAAATATTAAATGGAAAATTCCAGAAATAAACAATTCATAAGTTTTAAATTGTGCACCGCTCTGAGTGCTGTGATGAAATCTCGCACTGTCCCACCCCACCCCGCCCAGCACACCCCCCTGTGCATACTTCCCACCCGTGGTCACCCAGTAGCCATCTCAGCTGTCAGAGCGAGGGAGACCACGTTCCCATCACCTCTGTGACAGTGTATTATTACATTGTTCTGCTGTACTAGTAGTTACGCTGTTAGCCTCTTACTGATTAAACCCTATACACTAAACGTTATCAGAGGTATGTATGTGCAGGAAAAACATAGCATACGTGGGGTTCAGTGCTATCTGCAGCTCCAGGCACCCACTGGGGTCCTGGCACATACTGCCCACAGATACAGGGGGACGCTGTAATCTGACTCTCTAGACTGTGTGAAGGGAAGGGACAAGGCTAATGGGAAGGCTAAAGGGAAGGGCCCATTTTAACTATTCAAACACAGAGTTGACCTGTATTACATGATGCATAATGAGAAATTTTACTGTTTGTCTCTGATGCCTTTCTCTTGTTTAGTTCTAGAAGACTTACAAGACCAATCATCGCCTCTGAGATGGTAATCCAGGACAAGGGCATGTGTTTTGAGCCAGTGAGTCCTGGATTCAAAGCCCAACTCTACTACTTAACTGTCATGTAATTCAACTCCAAGCCTCAGTTTTGTCATCGATAAGATGGGGATGATAATAAAACACTCATGTAACCATTCTACGAGAAAATGAGACAGGGCATATAAAAGCATGCTCGACACGGCACTAGGCACAGAGTAAGAGACCCTAGTGGCAGCACCGCTACTGCTCCTGCTTCCCGTCAAACCTCATAAAACAACAGCAGGTGACAAGCCCTCCCGAAGCCCTGAGAACCCCAGATTCCAGCGGCTGTCTCCCAGAAGAGCAGCCGCTCCTCTCCCCACGTGCCAGGATGAGAGGCCGACACACATGTAGCTGACAGATGACACACTGCGGGGCAGCGCTGCGGTGCACACTCACTGGCGGAGGAGCTTAACAACCACGAACAAGGCGGCCAGTCAGCCACTGCCCAAGCTCTTAAGCCCTGTGGCCAAAATGTCTTTGAACCATGCTATGCTAAAATGTCCAAGTGGTGCTTAGAATCCCTTAGCATTTCCCAAGAGCCACATGGACCAAATGGGTGATCTGAACATGGGCACACACGCTCCTCCAGGCTGACTCCATGTGCTCTAAGTGTCAGCACGACGACGAAAGCTGTGTCATCAGAGACGTGACTTAAAAGAGATCACCCACACCCAAGAGGCACACTGACCAAAGAAAAGCACCTACCACATCTACATCCAATGTAAACAGAGGGCACATCCGAAGACCCCCTAGATTTGTATTCTCCTCGGCTTTATATATTTCCCTCAACTGTCACCTGATATTTGCATTTAATAAAACATCACCGAGCCTAATAAACCATTTACACAAGATTTACTCCTAAGTCCCCCTCAGGGAGAAAATACACAAACTGTTCTGCAGACAAGGGGGCAACTCCACAGCCCTTCTTCCACAGAACAAAACCAAATAATCCCCAAAATATTTATCTTTGAATCCACAAATTAAAAACATCCGTAACAATACACATTCAAATTAAAGTAGAATTTCTGCAAAAAAAGTTATATGAGTGGATAGGAGAAGAAAAAAGTAAAACCTCAAAAGGGAATTCTAATTATCTGAAACATAATAAAGACGGAATATGACTCAACAGCAAACTTGGCAGATGATGAAGAGCATCTGTCCCTTCTTTCTAAGATTTTTTACAGCCCCACCTACTTGTTACCAGGATGCCAGTTGGAACCTAAAGGGCCTAAACTAGCTAAACGCGCAGACTTTCTAAACCATTCCATAAAGATCTAATCACTATGTTGTATAGCAACTGTAATCAAAAATAAAAAGTATTTAAAAAAAAAGGCTGCAAACAGCCCAAGGCAGAAGAGACACCACTAACTACCCAGTAAGGAAAACAGAACTGAGAAAATGGGCAAAATAAAGTAGAAACAACAGAAGTTTATAAGATCAGAAAACAATACAGGAGACAAAGTAGATTTAACATACAGACAATTATTACTAATGAGAACAAGAAAACCAGAAAAATTAGAAATGTAATTCAAGAAAAACATCCAGAAATATAAGATTTAAATCTCCAGATGTTAAGAATTCAATCATGTATATACAACCATTGAAGAAAAAAATCCTTTGAAGAAAAAAAAGATCAATTCACCTACAGGGATGAAAAGAGTCTAATTGACTTCAACCTTCCAGACAGCAACATTCAACATAGAAGTCAGAGAAGCAATGCTTATCAAGAATTTAGGAAATGTGCTCTGGCTGGTGTGGCTCAGTGGATTGAGCACTGGCCTGCAAACCGAAAGGTCACCAGTTCAATTCCCTGTCAGGGCACATGCCTGGGTTGAGGGCCAGGCACCCAGTTAGGGGCATGTGAGAGGCAACCAATTGATGTTTCTCTTGCACACTGTTGTTTCTCTCTCTCTCTTTCTCCCTCCCTTTCCCTCTCTGAAAATAAATAAAGCTTAAAAAAAAAGAATTTAGGCACTGAAAGTACAAAAAATTTTATACCTAGCTAAACTATTGTTCAAAATTAATACAAGAGACAAATTTTTTAATGCTATAATTCAGGGAATAATTCCCATTCATCCTTATTAAGGAAATTTTTATTTAAAAAGAATGAAATAGCCCTGACTGGTGTGGCTCAGTGGGTTGAGTGTCAGCCTGTGAACCAAAGAGTCATAGGTTCAATTCCCAATCAGGGCACATGCCTGGGTTGGGGGCACTTGAAAGGTAACACACACTGATGTTCTTCTCCCTCTCTTTCTCTCTCCTTTCTCCCCTTTCTAAAAATAAATAATAATTTTTTAAATAAAAAGAATGAAATATAAGTAACTAAGAGATGAATAGAGAAACCATACCAAAGGTACTAAATTCACTCAGCTCTAGGAATACATTAAAAACAATTGTGGGGATTATAATCACAGAATAAAATACAAGAGTTATAAACTATTAAAAAGACTGAAGGAAAAAGGGAAAGAAATGGAGAAGGTAGATGAAAGTTTTAAAAAGTCTTGAAAGCTGAAATATCAAATGTTACAGATGTAAGTATAAAGGTATAAAATATAAGTAATAAAACTAAAAATAATATGAATTAAAATTGTATAGTAAAGGGAAAACGGAAGTATAATTCTGATATTGCTTATTGGAGAGACCACTATATAAAGAAATGCTATCTAAATGCCATCTAAACAAATAAAGACTTCAGTTTGCTATGTAAAATCAGAGTTATAATGTCATCCACTAGAAGAACCAAAATGAAAATAAAAACATTCACAACTAAGCAAAGAAAAACACAATTAAAATGAAGCAAAGAAAATACAATCCAAACCATGATTTAAAGGAGTATATTGGTTCTGTAATATTTTATAAGACCAAACAGCTTTTTTTTTTATTTATTTATTTTTAGAGAGGGAAGGGAGGGAGATAGACAGAGAGAGAGAGAAACATCAATGTGCAGTTGCTGGGGGTTATGGCCTGCATCCCAGGCATGTACCCTGGCTGGGAATCGAACCTGGGACACTTTGGTTCCCAGCCCGCGCTCAATCCACTGAGCTACG